TTTCGTAGATATAGATACATTTCTATAGAAATGGCACATGGAGCACTGTAAAATTTAAGAGTGAAATTGAAGTTAATACCACCTGTCTGGTATTTACTGAAGAAAATAATGTTAAACTTGTCATTGATAGTAGTAATTATGATTTAATTAATAAAAAAAGCTCACAAGAAAATAAATGTGTGCTCTGCTGACAATTACCAACCCAAATGGGAGTCTTTCTATGTTAACCTTCCAAAAAGCATTAGGTTTGGGCATAAAATCCTGGCAACATGTACAGTATATATCTGAGCATTTAAGTGTGAGATGAGGCAGAAAAAAAGGAAACTGGCACTAAGCTAGATGAACACAGTCAGTGTATCACAAACTACAGCTACCCTCAAAAGGAGTATTAACAGGGATGGAACCAGAAGCTGGGGATGTACAGAAATACATCTACAGTATACAACTGCCACCAATACCCGGATTGGCACAGCAGACATTGCTGACACAGATATGAGAAGAGGCTATTTCACCTTCTGATGTTGGAGTGAGGGAAATTACAGTCTGGCCTTGAAATTTTCAAGAAAAACAGAAGGGGCATGTTGGAACAACCTTCTTGTCTTCGTCTTAGAGGCCAGACGCAAATAGCCAGAACTGTCAGAAGGAAAATAGAGACAAACACACCCTGTGCCAGCAGGTGGAATTTTACGGTACATACTGTTTGGGTCTGAACAAAACTCTTGTGTTGAATGTAAACATGATATCCATTTGTTGCTTATGATGTCTTCCAACATTTCTGCCCCTCTACCAGAGAACTGTTCTGACCTCTTCAGGAGCTGAGAAAGGCTGGATGGACAGGTCCAAGTACTACTCCAGCAGATGGAGTATGGGATGCAAGGAGGATGAGAGATACCGGTGGATGGTTTGTTAGACTAATTTGGACATACTTTATATTACACTGCAGAGAGATGATTATTGCTACTATATATTGTGAGTGTAACTGTAAAGGATCTTTACTACAGTAAATAACAGTAGTTAGTGCCATAGCCATCCTACCAAGAAAGAGTTAATTTGTTAAGCCACGAGTCCATATGACAGTCACCAATGGCCAATAGGCTGCAATCATTTATGCAATACCTGATGAATAAAACTGCATTTTATCCATCCTTTATCAAAAATAATCTTATTCCTGTATGTCCTGAGGTAACATGGAAACTGTCCTGGATACACAGATTTCAAGTCAGTGCTGGATTCATCAGCACATATACTGTACTAAATATACTGTACTACACTAAAACTACATAAGCAAACAGGGACACTTTAGAAAGACCAATTAATATAGAGTGTGTCTTTAGAAGGCCAGAAGAAATCAAAGCACAAGGAAAACACCCACATGAATGTGGGGAGAATATGTAACTTCATACTGAAGTTATAATTCATCACAGTTAATTCACAGTTCTGTTTTCCATAGAAATACCCTAGTTCTCTATTTAACCTATAGTGTGCTATAAAGAATTAAGAGACTTATATAGGAACATATAGGTCATAAGTTGATGATTTTTATAATGTGGAATATCTATTCTTTTAATCACATGAAAATAATACTGAATATTGACTAGTATTTATAAAAAGATTATATTAAACCCACAATTACAGTAACTCATGCTTTAAGATTGGAATTTTATTATTCTTTTGTCTCCTCATGCCTTTTTAATTAAACCTTGCTTTTCACAGCATGTATTGGAGTACCTTCACAAACAACAGTTGTGCTCTTTCAAGCATCACATCGTGATCTTCATGTTTTGGCAAGAGGAAACAGACATATCAAATCTGTGCTTCATTGCACAGTTGGATGTACAGTACTCTTAGATTATGTGACTCATGCTAAAATCTTTCACTATCAAGCATGTCCTACCAGACTGAATTTAGCTTTTCCAAACTAATTATTGAATTTGTTTTTGATTAGCACTGTGTACTTGCCTTTTACTTCAGATTTTAATTATTGAATCGCTTTGACAGTGTTCTTACTGTATATGCTCCCTGAAGTGGGGCATCATTTAAATTTTTAAGTATTTATGATAAAAGGAAGTTTGTTGTGGTGAATGGATCACAAAAATGCTCACCCCTTATAAGATAGCCAATCTAGTTATCAAGATTAATTAAAAGAAACATGTGATAGTAATATGCATGACAAGAATTAGAAATTTCAACCATGAGTGATGAAAAAGCAACTTTGGCTCCACAAATCATTTATTTTTATTATTCTTCTTACAACTTTTGAGTGGTGAAGGTCAACACATAAACCACAGGGCAAAATCTCATACCGGCTTTACATGCGTTTTAGTGTAGAATTAACCATTTAAAAATGCTAATAATGACCGGTGTCTTTAGATTGTAAAAATATCTATATTCTGAAAATCAAATTTCAGAAACAAAATATAATTGATAAACGTCGGCGTCATTCAGACTATAGTTTATTTTATGTAATGTGTTCTGCTCAACCTGAGGCTTTTCATGAAGAGTCGGCTCTTCGTTAATCTCGTCAATGCTAGGTTAATACAAAACCTTCTCGGTAACACAGACTCTGAATGCAAATTGTGAATATTTTCTTGTTTACAATCTTAATGCTCGGTATTAAAGAGTCTGTGCAACCCTGGGAAAAAAAAAACGTTGAAATAGATAATTTTTAAAAAGTCAAATTGACAACAACTCGTCAAATCAATCCAAATCGACGCCTACGAGGACTGACAGATTCCAACCAAGTCTTTAAAACCATCACTCAATCACTCCAGTTTTAACAGTATTTAAAAGAGACATTCTTTAATAATGTTTATTTACGTTTCGTAACTGACTTTCTCACGTCCCTCTCAGTTGACGGGTCAGTAAGCGAGACGCCAATTGGCCAGGACGCTTGCCTGTGACGACATTCTCCTATGGCGCAGCAGCTTGTTAAGGGAGTGGGCTGTTCCGGACTGCAAGCGTGTTTGGGTTCTCGCAGTGTTTATGCTTTGCTCGGGCACTGCTGTGTGAGAAAAGATGTCCGCCTCCATAGTAAGGGCTACAGTGAGAGCTGTCAGCAAAAGGAAATTGCTCCCCACAAGGGCTGCATTAACTCTGGTGAGTGTTTATTATCACTAGTACTAAGCAAAACAAATCTTTTGCTAATTGTCTTAAGAAGAAAATATTGACGTTGCTTGTACGTACGCACCCACTGGCTACGGTATAGGGTAATTATGGGGCGATTATTTAACATCATATGCAGGACACAAAAGTTTACTTCTCAGTAGTAGCCTGGCTAGTGTTGTTATAAATACCACTGTTTGAATCATAAAATTAATCGTGGTTTTACTGGGAATATAATTTAAGTAATCCAGATAACAACAATACTTCTATAAAGAAATGCCTTTTGTTTTCAGAAAAGGGTCAAATGTGGTTAATTCCTACCAACCCTAAAACTACCCTCAGTACGTTTTTTTGTGGCTTTTTAATCAGAAGAGTACCCCACCCTGTTCGTGGCAGGAGCGATAGTTGTCGTGGTAAGGCTGTTTGGCTGTTGAACAAACTAAACTTTCACTGAATTTGTGGATGTCAGTGTGTCATTGGTGGAGTATTAACCGAGGATTTGACAACACATCGAATTAGCAATGTGAGGGAGTGTTATCGATTTACAGTATTCATCGATTGGTGCAGTTTGGAAATTGTGATTATGTGAATTTTATATGACTGAGAAAGGCATGAGCAAAACCGTCTATATTTAGTGAAATCTTAAATGTCTTAAACTTAAGAAACTGCAAAATAGGATTTTTTTTATATTGTTAGTTTACTGGGTGGCACAGTGGTTGGGGTCTTGGTTCAATTCCTGTGGTGCTGTCTGCTTGGAGTTTTTAAAGTTTTCCTCGTGTCTGCGTGGGTTTCCTCCCACAGTCCAAAAACCCACTTGAAGGTTAATTGGGTTCTGGGAAAACTGGCCCTGGTGGAGTGTGTGTTTGTGTCTCTATGTTCCCTGAGATGGACTGGTGTCACATCCAGGATGTATCCTGACTTGCACCCATTGTTAGCCAGGACAGGCTGTGGCTCCTCTGTCGTACTATATTGGATAAAGTGGTTAGGAAACAGATGATATTTTATTAAGAATCAAATGCCCTCCCATACCAACAGTAATAACTACGTTGACTTATGGCATTCTGTCGCACAACTTTGGCCTTGCCTCACACTCGGTGGTACCAATTTATTTAATAAATAAAAGCAATTATTTAACATGTAACGCATTAGTGTGTAGTGAATTAAAAATGTTTCCAGTCCACCAGCAGGTTAATAATAATAATAATAATGTCTAGGTATTTAAAAAAATAAAAATAAACAGAGTTTAACAACAGGAAATTGATTCCAGTTGTCAGATCACGTATAAGCATACCTTAGCTTTGTGCAACAACCTGAAACTTTCAGGTACCATAAATAATATTATTGCTAAACATATGCCATTCTAATTTACAGTATTTAACCCAAACAGTGCTGTCAATACATTTTACATAATGTAAATAAATAATTCAGTATTTTGCCATAATTCCAATTAGACTTGTCTCTCACCTTATGTTGCCAAAACTTGCACAATAGTGTACACTATGTACTGCAAATTAAAGATTTTTAGTGTTTTTCCTAGTGCAGGACACTTATCCTATCTGGCTCCCCAAATTGCCATTTATTTCAGTCATTTTCATCTCCCAGGCCATGTTCATCCATGGTACATCTTCTTTTTTGCTCACTCGTGAAGCTTCGGTGAGCATTATGGGGTCAGTGCATAAATATCAAAGCGTCTTGCTTTTTCGTGGTGACTTCAAATATGTACTGGTATAAATTCTGTCCAAAATAACAGAAACATGGCAGTTTGCACCTGTGTTTCAATCTCCTTTGTTAATTTGGGAAAGTGTTCTAGATAGAAGTCTTGCTAGTAGTTTCTAAACATATCAATGCATTTGACTCAGAGCACATGTAGTAGTAATGGTAAAGGTGACCTTGTTTTTTATCAGAGCTAATGTTGTATGTCCCTTTTTGCAGAAAGAAGGCCGTATAGATGTATTTTCTGTCATTCACTGAGTGACCTCCGTGTATTTCTCATTGTTATTGTTGTCATGGGGAATCAGTCCTTTTTAATCCACTACTGGATCAAAGCCTCCCAAGGGTCTCTTCACAGATCTTTCTCTTCCTGTTTCTCCGCATACCTCATTAGGGGATTAATTTTGCTTTAATCTTCGCTCTTACGATCAGTTTAAGAGTTTGCTTTATCCAGTGTTGACCCAATTTATTTTCCTGTGGGTGTCTTTTATTTCTTCATTCTTCCAGCAGTGTTCCAATTTGTTTAGCTTTTTTTAAGTATTCATTTATTTTTCTGGCCACAGTGTTCAATCACATTTCGGCATGTATTTGCTGCTTATGATTTTTGCATCATGCTTACATCTATGTTTTCTGTTTTGTCAGTGGAGGGATGTTTTTCTAAAAAGATTCCTTTTCTTGTATTGCCTAAAACCCTACAATCCAATTTAATTGCAAGTCTGAATTGTTTTTTGTGCTACAGTTGTACCCGAGAAGGATAAACTTCTGATCCACATTTTCAAAAAACAGTTTCAATGTGCTGTACTGTATGTTATTATGAATAGTCATGGTAAGCAGATGATGCAGCTTAAAAATTAACATTTGAGATGTCATCCCAAACTTTTTTTTTAAAGATTAGTCATTTTAGGTTAATGCAGTATATAGTGTTTCATTGTGTCATAGTGTTTTGCTCTTAAAGCTAAACATTTCTTTACATGAAAGCGGAAGGGATTATAACTATGCTCTCCTCCTTGGAGTAGTTGAAAGTATCTTTTGTCATTCATAGGTTTGCATTGAGAGGACCAATTCTGGGGAGAGATGTTTTGGGGTATTATTAATATGCAGAGACGTTTACAGGATATAAATGTTCTAATCCGTTGGAAATTATATCTTAAAAGTTAATTGAAGTTGAAGATATCTGTCAGAAAAGCAATGAAAACTGCTTTCAGAAAAGAAGTGAAAAGATGAAAGCTTTTTATTTTGTTTTTATCTGAATCCTGAATAAATTGATATTTTTCTTCCTCCTTTTGCCGTAGACTCCTGCTGCTGTTAACAAAATAAAACAACTTCTTCAGAATAAGCCCGACTATGTAAGTACCACAATTATTGTTTGTGCAGCTTCTACATATACACTAGACCCTTTATCCTTTTATGTTGAATCTCAGAGAGAACTGCCGGACCAAGGTTCGGTGTGTTAAAGCTGTGTGTATGTGTTAGATGTTCCCTGTGACAGTATGATTCAATTCCATTTACTTGCATAGTAAGTGTGAATTGCATACTAGCTAAATACACTACAATCCCACCATCATTCCTAGCTGTATTCTAATTTCAGTTAGTTTCCACCACACAGATTATATGTGAATCATTATTGTTATGCTAATTACATTCAGTTTCAGACCTTTTCAGGTCTAGTGTACAGCAGATTGAGAGAAGTATGGTAAGGGTCGTAAAAGTGTGTTTCTTAAATGTGATCCTAGAATTGTCATTAAATAAAAAAATAGTAATATCTCATCGAAACACTTCCCCTTGACCAGAAAAAAGCAAAGTTACCAAACACTGACTTAATAGTGTGGTATTAGGCTAGTAAAGATACAGATGATGGCTATCATAAGATCTTACTATAACCATATAACTAAATATACAATATGGCTTAAACATTAATTTAGAATATTGCTGATTTTCATTAACCTGTGCTCTTTTAATTAATTTGATTAATCTTTGGAATGTTAAATTTACCATCTAATTATGGAAAATTAGCATAGCACTAAACATAGTATAGAGGTCTTCAACCCAATTAATCAATTATCTAGATTTAGAGCATGGAGGACTTGGGATGCTATCTCTGTCTCGTCTGTATGTTCTGCCACTGCTCACATGGGTTTCCTACCACTGCCCAAAAGCATACTGGTAGTTTAATTGGCTTTTGGGAAAATTGGCCTCAATGTCTTTGTGTCTGTCTGCCCTCTGATGGACTGGTGTCCTATCCAGGGTGTGTCATGCCTTATACCTGTTGCTTGCCAGGGAACGTCTTCAGTTCCCCAGCGACCCTGTATTGGATATAGTGGTAAGAAAATTAATGGATGGAAGTATGGTGGTTGCTGCCTTGATATTGATTAGTTTTGCCAAATTGTTGAGAGATTTTTTAATTAAGAGACATGGGCTTCAGTCTTTCAAAAGGTACTTTAAATGAAAATGAGTGAAACGTTTCAAAATGTGATGTAGTTTTTTTTTCCTATTCCATTCTTACTCCACCAGTTGATGGTTTGGACACTCATTCTGACCAAAGTATACCAGGGACCGGTTATTATTTATCCTCTCTAAAATGACATTCATTATGGAAAAGATCTTTGATTTGTGCTTAAATTCTGATACAAATATATCTGAGAATGATTCCTAGTTAAAAGAGTAGAGTATTCAGGAAAAGGTCAGTGGAATTTTAAGACTGACATAAACAATGCAGAGCCCTACATATTGATAACTTCTTTTGGTTTATTTGATGGTGCTCATTTACAGTGAGATCTGAAAGGGGAATTTAGAAGGGCAGGTTCTCATAGGGTTACTTCTGTTGTTTCTCATGCCACTTGAGTACAGTAATCACACTCTAGATTAAGGATAATTAATGCAACTATATTGAAAAATGTTTGCAGGAAGCAACATGAAAAGTTTTCCTTTTGCCCTGAAATAGGTTGGGCTAAGAGTAGGTGTACGAACTCGAGGATGTAATGGACTTTCATATACGTTGGATTACACAAAGGAAAAGGGAAAAGCAGATGAAGAAGTACTTCAGGATGGTAAGCTTATTTATATTTCAACGACACTTGTTGTTATATGAGTAGTATTGATTGAGAATTTGTTTCCTGTTTTGATGCTCTGTAGTGTGCTGAGGATTCTCTATAACATTATGAGTGTACTCATAAGTACCTTAATTAGTATATTCATCAGCAGATTTCTGTGTTAGTAATGTATAATTAAACTCTTTAAACAAAAGTCTTTACTTTGCTACCATAGTGTAACATCAGTTTTCATAAGAAAAACATACATATATTCATCACATTTTGACAACTTAGTTTCCATGTGCCATGACTATGAATTGGCTATTAACTTTTACAGCTGGTTGAAATAAAGATACAACAGTATGTTTTATGAATATTAATGTGATTTTAAATGCTATAAAGAGAGGACGAGTATGAAATGGAAGGTTTCTAAGCTAAACATCTTTGTTGTTGTGTTTTGTTTCTGACTGAGGTACATTTGATACTTAGGTTAGTGGACAAAGATCCTCAATGTAAACAGTGATTCTGTACAGTACTCTAATGAAGCCATCACATGATTGAATGGTGAAATATAATTGATCACAGATACTGATTTGACTGGGAGAATCATTAGATCAAGTTAAAAGTAGCTTACCTATGTAAATTTTCACTTTAAACTTTCATAAAGAAAACAAAATGTGTGCTATTGTTTTCAAGACCTTAGTGGCATTTAATTGTAAAATGTAATACATTGACAACAGAGTACATTCTTATAATTACCTTGGTATTTGTCCTTTAGTAATATTTCATAGTAATCATTCCAAATCAAAACTAAACCAGAAAAATACCTCAGGCTCTACTGCTGCTGTAAGTCTTTCAGATAATCTGGTTTTATACAACAGTTACATGCAGTAACTACCATATACCATCTGCAGTACACAAATTATATTGATTATGTAAAATATATTGCTAAAGCAAGTCAGAAGTGAACAAAAAATGGAAATGCCTATGTAAATGTGGGACATGTAAATAACTGCAAAAGGAGTCCAAGGCAACCCAATTGCTGATGTTTCATGAGCAGCAATGTCTAAGGTGCTGTCATTAGCAAATTACAAAAGATACTGGGAAGTGAATACTCAAGGGTCATGATATGTTTTCATTAATTCTAAACGCAAGGTACAGGTTTCAGTGGGGTATGATCAGCTGGTTTAGTCAAAAACTGTCCACTGAGAACTCTGCAGAGGTGTTACGGGAAGTTGTTCAAAAGAGGAGGAGGAGAGGGTCTTGTGCGATTTTACCCTTAATTGAGCTAACATAGCAGCGCAGTGTTTAGACTGGCCTGCAGTCAGTCACTGCATTACAGGATGTGCCGTCCCGTAATTCACTGACTGTAAATTACAGGATTTCCAACCTTTTATTGAATTCTTTTGTCTTGCAGAATACATGACATAGGGAAAAATAACATTCAGTAGCAGTTTTTCTTGCTGTAATGAAGTGACTATCGCTCAGCCAAATGCCATTTTCCATTTTGCTGCATCCACATACCTGCTGAACTGGCCGATCATGGTGGCCGAACGCCCTATTAAGTGCTTTAATGATAGTGTTTTGATTTTTTGTCCACTGCCTGTAGCTAGTTTCATTGTAGGAAATTAATGCATTTTCGATTGTGAACAATAAAAAGGACTCACGCATTGTAGGATAAAGGCCTTCTACATAGTCATGTAATTTTCCTTCGGGTCAGTCTACAGTCTTGGATGTCATTGCAATTAGAAGCAGAGTGGAAAAAAAATGATTTTCCTCTAGTAGATGTGACTAATTGGTTTTATACATGGAAACTGACTCAGCAGAATTTGGTACATCTGAAACAAAATCTGAAAACATTTTTATCTTTTTTTTATTTCTTACAGGCGTTAGGGTTTTCATTGAGAAAAAGGCCCAGCTTACTCTTCTAGGAACAGAAATGGACTATGTTGAAGACAAATTGTCAAGCGAGTTTGTTTTTAATAACCCAAATATCAAAGGCACCTGTGGATGTGGGGAGAGCTTCAGCATTTGAAAACACATCTTGCTGATCCAAAGACAATGTCCTGTTGTTCTAAAATACACTGCACTGCAAGGAGTCCTTTTCCTTTTTTGACTTCTTAGGTTACACACACATCTTTCCTACAATCTGTTAATATTTTTCCTGCTCTTAAATGGCGAAGAGACAAATAACTACAGGTATGAGAATCTAACAGTACCATAAAAGATTAAAATGTTTATACCACATGCTGTTGTTAAATAATATCAATAACTAATTATACAGGGTTTATTTGCAAGATATGGCTTGTAGTATTACCTCTTCTAGTTTACTTTTGTATTAAATTGAATGTCTTACTCTTGCAGAGGCATGGTTAAGTTGGACAGCTATTTGTGTTTATTTCAACTTAAACCTAACAGTGTAGAACTGATTTTTCATCTGTTTTGTTTATAGCCTGCATTGCCATGCCTTCTTTTAAACCAGAGAAGGTGGCTTGCAAAATGTAAGTTGTAAGCTTATATGCACTTGCAGATGAAATCACGATTACGGTAAAATCAAACTTTTACGTATCTGGAAGGCAGTAGATGCAGAAATCTGAAATTGTTTTGGCATACAGTTTACAAAAGCTGAAATCCGTTTCTACACGATCTCCTCTTCTCTTTCTAATTTAAGTATTTCCGTACTCTGTTGTGGGGGGAGAACTGTCAAGAATCTCAAGACATTTTTAGAGTGCACAATTGCTGATTTTGGAATATATATTGGATGTGGGAGTGATTTGCTTTTTTATCCTTTCCCCTGCATCTTCTTTTTTCTCTGAAAAGTGTGGAATTAAAAAAAAAAACGCAGCATTAACATGAATTATAAATCATTTATATAATGTGGTATAATTAATTATCCTCTATATATAGTGAGAAAATACAAAACAATATGATTGTCTGAACAGTTAACATTCAAAAAAGAATATTCTAGCTTGTTCTCTTTTTTTGTGATTTGGTTTCTGGAGAATAATCTTAAAATCTTGGTATCTGATTTACTTTCTTACCATAGAGAACAATTTTCAGCAGTGGCAGATTTATTTTGGATCCACGTTTCAGAATTGAGATGAACGCACAGTGCTTGATGTTTTACTTTGTCTGTTCCTTTGAAATCAAGAAAAGACGCTTTCATGATTTCGCCAAATACTCTCTTGCAGCCCTTTGTGTGTTTCTAATCGTAAAGTGTTGACTTCAACAACCGGTTAGAAAAAACAATAAAATTGAAGAAGCAGTTAAAGTTTTTTTCAAAACATCCAGGTGTGCATGATTTATAATGCTAAAACACACAACCTAATCTAAAATTGTAAAACCTTTAATTATCTGTTGATTTGCAAATTTAATAATGAGAAACACAGCCTAATAATTTAACCCAAGTCTGTCAACAGCTTGACCAATGAAAAGTAATAAAACAAAAGCCTATTCTTAGACCTCATTTAAAAGCTGTATAATTGATTACTTATTTCAAATTATTCTTTCAAAGTGTTTTAATGTACACACTTCTTGTGTAAACAGTGATGTAGGGTAAACGGCAACAGTGATATGCTGTGAATAAGTGGTTTGTAAGGAATGTAAATTGTAAATGTAACGCACAAATATTATTATATTCCTTGCATACAAATAGTAAAATAACATTCAGGAGCCAGTACTGTAAGATGTTGAATTAAATATGTTATTAGAACTTCAGAATTGTAACTTTATAATGTGTATGTGTATTTACAAATTGTCATAGTTAAATAAAGTTTGAGAGTGTCTCCATTTATGTTTTACTGCTTACTTTGTACTTCTGTAGGAGAATGCTATTCAGGTGTATATTGGCATACAGACGGGAAGCTGTATAATTAACTCTCAATTTGTGTTCAGAGAGTCAGTTATTTAGAGGAGGCAGTCTCTAAAAACAGCAGCTTCTTTCTTAGGCCAGGTCTTGAAGTGGTTCTCTTTCGCTAGCTAGAAAAACATGACTTCCAGTTCCACTAGGAAGGATATTCAGTTGCAGTTCTGTACAAATGTAAAAAAAAAAAATTGTCATGAGCCAGATGAAGAATTCTGGATGTATAGGCATGCTACTAGAATTATGTATATGATCTCTAAAGGTTTTATTTATCTTGTCTTTTCTTCACGTTAACATTTAGATTCCACAGGTCTTACTTCCTTAAAGTTTGAGAAAGGGTGATGGTGGGTGCACAGTCCTTGCACCCCAAAATAACCCAAAATGCCTTTGGAAGCTGAGCATTTGGAAAAAACCTACCTGATATTAGGGAGACTGTGTGAACGCCATACAGAAGACAGGTCTCCAAGACAGGAATACTAACTGCTGTGACTGTGATTCTCTTTTCAAAGTGAAAGAAAATGATGAAAACCAGCAACAGACTGATCTGATCCCACTCAGCGGGCGTAGAAGATTTTGTAAAAGATGTTGCTCAAGTGAAGTGAAAAAAGTTGACTGAGAATATGATTGAAATCAGCAGATACAGGGATCCTGTTGAATTTTCTCCACAAATACATGCCATTTTCTGAGGGTATGAGAAGCTTTTTTTTGGTAAACCTTTACTTTTTATACTATACAGGGAGTAATTCTATTAATAGTAATGAAATGAGACATGACAAGCCTTAACTTATTCTGTTGCGATAATCAAATCACTTACTAAAAATAATTTAAAAATTGTCTTGTGAATATATCAAGCATCAGAAGAAATGTCTCACTGATGACTTATTCACTTTTTTGCCTCAATTGCACTGACAAGTTACTGAACATTAGTTCAAAAACAGATTAGTTGTAGTAGTTAGGTGTTAGTAGTGTGTGTAACCACTACTGGATATCTTTCATAGGAGCTCACAGGAGGTGAAGTCACAGGACTTGATCACTGTAGTGCTGTGCAGTCAAGTTACTATCAATAACTATGGCTATAGTTCTGTAGTGATTTAACACATCTGCACAACCATCACCATCATCCCCATCCAGTTTAGTGAGGTGTCATGATTCATAATCTCCCAGATTGTGGGTTATCAGTGATGGCTTGAGCCAGAAAGTGAGAGTGTGCTGACTTAACATATCCATGTCATAAAATATTATATAGCACAGTTAGTCATAAATGATAAATTTATCAAAATGACATGAAACTAAAATCTGCTGTCTGTATTATTTATTTTTCTAAATGCATGTGTGCATAAATAATGAAATTTTGAATGATTTGGCTAGGATTTGTAATCTTATTTCATGCTGCTCACAAAACCATCTCCCAGTAAAGTAAGAAAATGAATGTGTTTGTTTCTGTATTATTCCTGATTTTCTTAAAGAATATTACAAGCTACATTGTACAGATCAGTAGGTAGATAAGTTGAGAAGTATCTTAATTACTTAACCAAAAAGAGGTTAGTTAGGGAACATTGATCCTAGTATGATATTCTTTAAAATATATTTTGAAACTGAAAATTTGAAAGAAAGAGACAAGAGAAATAAAATTGGAACAAATATATGAAATATGAAATCAGTGAATATCGATGGATAAAGTTTAAACAGATTGAAACTAATTTTGCTTGAATCAAGAGAACACATTTATCCATAAAGTGAATGATTCAAAAGCTAAAACATAGTATGCCATATGGTTCAACAAATCACTTAGGAAAAAAAGGAGAAGAAATGACCAGGTTAAAGAAAATGAGTATAAGGAATTACAAGCATAGAAAAGCATATTAGAAAAGCCAAGAGAGCAATTGAAAGGCATGGTTCAATGAAGGTTAAAATAAATTACTTCTTTCAGTCCTACAATTAAAAAAAGATTAGAAGAAAATTCCAGACAAAACAAAGGAAATGACTAATGCGCTAAATTACAATAGGGTCTCATCATTGGAGAGAACTGTTGCATATAGCTAAATTTGTATACAACCAAGTCCACCTCCATAATATACTACAGAATATAGCATGTATAGGTAAAAGTTGTAAGTAACGCTCCCAGAACCAAATACATTCAAGGCCATGACATGACAAGCCAAAGGAACTGAACCTTTTTAGTCTTGAACAGTGAAGATTACAAAGAAACATGATAAGAAGTCTACTAAGTGGATTTCTTCAGGATAAACACTGCAACACTTCCCAGAGGACACAGGCAGATCCCACTTGGAAGTGGATTTAAAACCAAAACCAAAAACATTTCTTCATCTAAAAAGGGTAGCTTTTGGTAACCTAGGCCAAAAAGCCTGCTCTCATTACTAAACTTTTTTTATGTTCTAATTGAGACAGGTAAGTCAACTAACTGTATTTTCTAAATGCACAAACTTAATCTTTAACTTGGTATGCTTGAAGGTTTCCTTCTTTCCATGATCGTGCAAAACTAAACCTCTGATTCTCTACCTTAACCTCTTACACATTTCAACCATTTTTATAATCTTATAGTAATTTCATATTTTTATATAATTTACCATTTGACCCTTGAAGCTTTTAACATTTCATGCCATATGCTTTCAGTGGAAAAAAAATGCTCTTCAGTCCATATTAATCAATACAAACCCTCAACCTTGTCTTTACTAATTCCTAAATGCCAGCAGGGAACCTTTCAGATAGCACTCCAGTATTTCCATTTTCAACCATTCCACACAAAGACTGAATCAGCTGGCTTATTTCCTTTTTGCTTCCTTGCTACCCCAATGAAGCTAGATAAATACTGGCATAACATTGATGTTTAACTGCACAGCTCCCCTTTATTCTGAAGGTCATGAAAAAGTAAACATTATGCTTGGAAACGTTTTCAGTGGCTAACTCTTTTATTCATACTGTAATTAGCTGACATTAATTCTCCTTTCCACTGACATTAGCAAGCACCTGTTTTATACACAGAATGTAAGACAGTTTTAGGTCTTCTAATGCTATAGCATCAATAAACAGACTAGTTTTTTTTGGTTCTGTTATGGTATGGCTATGGTGTAGCCTTGAAGGAATTTCAAAGACAACAGTATATACATTTCCCTTTAACTTACTTTACATTATGGGCAAACAGGAAAATGCAACATACCGTGCCTAGAATTATACAGACAGCCTACAGTGAACTCTTTGCTTAAAGAAGAGTTTCTATTGTCAAAACAAAGAGAAGGTTTTGTTTTGACGATCAATCCCTTGCTAGAGTCATTGTTGGAAATCGATTTCATAGTGACTTAATTAGGACACAACATAGCTGATGCTACATTCACACAGTCCCTGGTGAAAATTGTTATTCTGATTTCATTTTCTGGGGTGGAATTGGTTCCCCTTAGGTTTCATGTGCTCTGTAGGAGTTTGGAAGCTTTAGTATCTGTTAACTCTGTAATCAGCCACTAATCTTTCTGCAGGGCAAGCAGGTAAACTGTTGGTACAAGCATATTTGGAATGCATGTATACAACAATTTCTAAGATTAAGACAATTATTAAAGATGTTTGCAGAATAAATTTATATGTGTTAATATTAATAGTTTTTAAACCTGTAATCTAACTTGAAATTTTACGAATCGGTTATAAGAACAAAAAGTGTTACAATTAAAATGTATTGTCATATTCATCTGTTTTCTTGGTATAATATCACAGACATACAATTTGTCTAACCAGGTCAGTTTTTGCAAATGAGGATGTGTTCACAGTGGTTTTAGCTAAATATATTGTATTAGTGACAATAAAAACATGAACAATAGTGAGGAATAAATAAGGATCCAATTATTATAGTGAGGAATTATTATAATAAATATTATTATATTATATATATTTATTATAATAAATTGTGCATAAAATCTTTGTGGTACCTGTCATAGAAAGTTCCAAAACTTTGGAACAATGGGTGTTGTGTTAGGTGCCTAGCTGCAGGTGAGCTAGAAGGTAGATAAATACAGGAGGCTTCTGGTTGAATATTTTCAAAACATTAACACGTTTCCTTTGCTCCAGGCTCCCTGTTTATCTTCCCTATCTGTTAGTGATATTGGCAAGCCACACATCATTAAAACATATTCTATTCAAGGCCTTGGTCAAAGAAACAAACAAGGCTTTATGCAATTATACCTGCCTATGCAGGGAAAGGCAAGCATAATTCTTGAGTGCTTTGTTTGTTTCTGTTTTTTAAACAATCTCCAACCTGGATGACTTAATTGAATCTACTAAGTGGATAAAATGTTAAATTAACTGTGTTTTCCAGGTCTTACTCAGATGCTAATTAAAATGTGCCTCTAAGATCCGCAGGAACCTGGTACTTGAGGACCAGGGCTGTCTACCCCCAGCCTAAATTGCCACATCTGTGTGGTTGCACTTGGAACAATGTCAAGCACAATGAAAAAAAAATGTCATTACAACAATGCCTGGTGAAATTCAAGAAAGAAAAACAGAAGCGAGTATACCCTGCTTATTAAGACAACAATGTTTTTGGAACAAGTAATAGGTTTATTCCATGCTGAAATCTTCACAGCGATCTTCACAGCGATCTGTTCCAAGACCAGGCTTTCTAACCACCTCTTATTCTTTTACAGATGTCGTCGTTATAATATAATTCTTACTTCCCCCTTCTCTTTCTTTTCAGAGGCTCTAGAGGTTCTTAAATAATGCCTACAAAGGCAAAAATAAGAGATAAGCTGCCTTTTAAATAGATGCAATACAACTTGCGGTAAAATCTCTCTCTCTGCAAATCCAGGTGCCACAAAATAAATGGGAGTCTATCTCAGCTTTCTAAAAATGCACCTCTAAGCAGAGAAGGCCATCTCTAACCGAGGTATCTTTTACCCAGAAATCCCAAGTTCCCTAAAAGCAA